ACAGCGCAAGTTCTTTCGTAACAGCCCCAGTAGGAGCAGAGATACACAGGTTGGAAGTCGTGGGTAATGTTTTTTGTCCCACCCAGTAGACGGATGAGGTAATGACACCCGTCGGACAGGTCGTCGAGCGTGTGTGAACGGCATGTCCGTTCCCACTCCCGACGACTCTCCCTCAATCCGTGGATTCTCGACAGGCATTGCGATTCTTCAGGGGAACGGTGGGCGTTTTAACCCGAACCGATGATTTTGACGCCAGGTGACGCCAGGTAGGGCTCCGGTTTCATCGATTCGCCCGAGATGAAGGTCAAAAGCGGCACTGAAGATACTACAATAAAGATGGGGTTAAAATCTCCAGTTTTCTTATTTTAAGAAGATATATTTTCCTCTTGAATAAATTTTCTCTCGTTCAAAGAAAACCTTTCATATTCGCTGTAAAATGAATCCTCTCCTGTCTCTTTTAAATAAATAAAAAATACCACACTAATTTGATTCATCCCTTTCTGCCCGATTTCCTTTTTCTAGAAGGCTTCTATGGCCTCTTCTTCCTTCCTACGTGACTTACTTCACGGAAGCCGGCAGTGAGGCAGTTCCCTTTCGTAAATTAGATGAGAATCAGAATGTGACATTCCTCCACGTCCATAACCACCGCCAACGCACGAAGATGGATTCGTGTAAGCCCACGAGTAAGGAGAAGCGTATCCGATTCGCGACGTGACAATAATCTGACATCACGAGCGATGACGCCACCTTCCATCGCTGGAGGCGGGAGTGGCAGCACACTTCCGGGGAAGTCTCATATGCTCCCCCTCAGAGCTGCACTCCCTTGACAGCAAAGAATTTCGGAAACCTCGCAGAGGAGGAATGGATCCAGTAAGGAGTTTCCAAGAAGACAATTATACTCGGAGGTGAACGAAGAATTATACTCGGAGGTAATGAGAAGCACTTTCTTGCGGAAGGAAAGGAAGCATATCGAGCAGGTAACCTGACGATAATGAGAGGAAGGAGGATTAAAGCAGAGATATTAAGAATGAGGAAAGAGAAGTCCGGAATGGTTTGTAGGGCTTCATAGGGGTTTATAAAAGGCGTTTACAGGAGAGAGAAAATCGGAGACCTCATTTTGGCCCATAGGGAATCATCTTAAATTCGTTTGTTTTCCACCATCCGCCCCTTTCCCTGCCCGGTATAAAAGCCAGCCTTTTAGATGAGTGCCAGGAACGTTTAAAGACGAAGGACACAAGGATGAAAGGAGTAAGACCAACCGGAGCGTCGGGGCGCGTTAGAGTCAAAGAATTGCATCGTGCCAGTTGAGAATACACAAGGAGTTGGAAGAAATGAATCGTTCGTCTCATTACCTCACCTGTCGATACAGGGTGTCCAAGCGTCGGGAAAAAGTCCCTAAAATTCTTGGCTCCTTATGCATTACTCATAAAGAGATGAATAATGCATATTGCTTGAGGAAGGGCAACAAACCCTTGCAAAGCCATCCTAAGCCATTCTGCACACGAGTACCTTGCTGTGCGTCGTCAGAAAAATAATATTTAGAATTTCAAGCGCTTAGTATAAACATCAAGAGAGAAAATCAGCAAAACATTCAGATTTTAAGCGTGAAGGGGAGGGGGGTGGATCGTATTACTCCCCCGAAATGAACATCCAGAAAGAGTTTATCAATGAATTGTGGAACAGGAACTCCTGAAAATGCGAAGAAAATTAAGCACCGTTTCAAGGTCATGCGATGCAAAGAAAACCCGCCAAACGCTCGAAGAACGGGGAAAGAGTCCCCCCGCTTCCTTTCCTCCTCCCCCTTGAAGGCCACTTCGCCCTCGTGCCATTGTTGGGTGCTCCAACTGCGAGGCCATGCCAAGATGACGTCTCCGGGGACAGTTTCGCCAACTTTTTCGATCGACGCCATCAGAATGCTAAGCATGCATCAACCTGACAAGTTGGTGGAATTGCTCTTCGCAGGCGTCGCACTTGAACACTCAATAATTGCACAATAGCGAAGTGCCCCGAGAGAAAATAAAGAAAAGGAAGCGGGGCTTCACCAGTGACGTGGCCTTCTCTCGTTCGCCCGGCGTCCGGCAAACTTTCTAATTGTCGGATCCTACGACCTTGACACTTCGATCCCACGACCTTGACGACCTCGATTTTCCTACGCGTTTAATAGTTCCCATTTAAAAAAGCATTAATAAACCCCTCGGTCTTCGTTTTCGGCGATTAGTAAGACCCTCGTGTCTAAAATCAGATAGTTGGGATAGGTTTCTCCCTCAATACTCATCCTACGCATTAAAAACTGATATTGTGGACCAATGCGACGAACTCAGCTACAAATTTCATCACTATCATTTGATTATTACTTGGTCTTTTTTTTGGCGACAAAACAAAAACAGAATATATAGATTCCACGAAGACTAGCTTTTTTCTTTTCCAACACGACCGCTGACATTTTCGATGTAAGAACCAAGGCGGAACACACAAGCTTCAATATCAATAACCCTTTCAAGCACTTCAAAGTCTTTTTCTTTTCACTTTCTCGCCGATTCTTGCTCCGAGGTCACCCCAATGGTTCATATATTTTTTTCTTTCCCCCGAACAAATGATGCAAGAAAAGAAAGGACGTCCACCCTTTCTCCAACAAACTACTAAGTTTTCCTGACTTACGAGAGATGCTCAAGGAGTCAAGCATTTTTAAAGCGTTAACTCGCCCAACATATGGCCCCCACAGTACTCAGTACTCAGAAGGAATGGCAGCATCATTCCCAAGGCCACCGCGGCGAGCATACCCGGTTATAGCGTACTTAACGAGCACTCGAAGGGCCAGTAAAATCTAACGGCGAGCCTCGTGCGAGACCCGACGAGAAAATCCCCAATTTGTTCATGCTAAATATATGTGAAGAGGCAGAGGCCAACGTGACGCCAATAAACGAATCAATGTAGCAATAGCGGATTGCAACAATGCACGGTAACGAGCTCCCTCGCGGAAGGAGCGTCGTCTGCACCGCTTACATCATCGGGCCACGCACGACCGCGAAGGCGATGGGACTGCGCATGCGCGAACGCTGGTCCTTCCGGGCGGGCAATCCAACGCATTTCAACTTCAATTTCCTCCTCCTTCGAGTTGATATCTCATTCCAAGAGCTGGTGCAGTCGTTATTGAACAAGCCTAGAGTGTTGATTTAACAGCGATGGCTAAGCACTGAAATACAGGTACTGTTGATTACCAGCCACACTAGAGTTTCTTGAACAATGCAACTCAATTGGAGTGGGAGATGGCTTCGAGTTCAAGAAAACTAATAAATGTCACATGGTTTCCTTACTGCTGTTAACCCCTCGACTGTCACGCCCAAGTATACTTATGCGAACGCAGCCTCTAAAAACGAAAACCCGACAGTCAAAGGGTTAAGAAGAGGATTGAAATCTCCCCCTGGCCTGCAGAGACCCTCGGCCAAATCGGACTGAAGTACCGAGGGAGAACTCTTGTGGATTCCATTACGGTCGACGTTCATGATAACGAACTTCTCGGCAACGAGCTTACTTTATAACGATTTGTTTTCCAGTTCTCGCGTGTTTGTCTATTCAACTGAATGTTGAAATGTTTCTCTATAACACAGTTTTGTCAATGAGTTGTTCGGTTTTACGAAGTCTTTTTTTCCGTCCGAAGGAACAAAACCGTTCCGCATTACGAAGCTTAAATCCGCAGCACATGACAGAGCTATTTTCTTCCGCGCATTCCTGAAAAATCTCATCTCACGCCGAAATCTATCTTGTTCCACCCACTAATTGGTGCGGCCGTGGGGAGTAAAGGAGCTCTATCAGTCACTTAATCTTCTCCGGATCTTAAGGGATGAGGTGAGGCTGAGTCCAGGATTCGGATCGGTCAAGCAATCGAAGCCTTCGACGATCTTGGGCTATTTTTGAGTCAAAGGTCGAAGGTGACTCGTCCGATTTTTATTACGCCTACATAAGAACACACTGCCGTGCATGCTCATTTCGGTACATACCCACATTTTGGATGCTTTCCTTTTTTTCAATAAGGCAAGCATTTTTTCGTGATTTGAAGACTGCATCCTTTGAGGGAGTATAGAACATTTTATTTAAGAGGCCTTTTCCCCAGAGAAATGTGGGGAATTCCCTATAGCAAATTTTCCTTATAGCGAATTTTTTTCTAGCCTCTCCCCTGGAGTTCTTTATATCGTGCGTCTACTGTATTCCTTTAAGATGCAATAGTCTCACTTGCAAAAGCAACAATAAATAAATTTCTCCAATCTGAAAAATACAAGAATGTCCGGCTACTTTCCTGCTTGTCAATAATCCATGCATTATTTTATGCATCACGCAGTTACCCTGCTTGGTAAAAATTAAAATTTATCCTAGATGCCTTGAAACCAATGGGGCCGTTTCCAATTGTGGCCTTGCTCTTAGGACTTCATTACATGTATTCACAAACTGCACTGGTCATGCAGAGTTCTGAGTAATAAATAATGGTACACAATTTCATGGCATTACTGGGAAATACTGAGCGTTCACATCAAGTTCAACTTTGGAGGTCAGTGGAAAACAAATCAGTGGCCATAACGCAAAAGACCTTTCTTAGATATGGGCACATTTTTCGTAATAAGTAGGTGTGAAACTGCAACCCTGGTTACACATTGATACTTTGCCAAAATGTTCATAGATTGGCCTACTGTGCCTGAATATGGGGATGACTTGAAGAGTAAATAATTCCTGTCAGTTTTCCTTCTCTGATCAGCAATTATATATGGATGATTATATTCTTCTTTACATCAGGACAAGTCATACTGAAGGTAGAAGTTTAGCCATGTATGCTCTTCTGCTCTGGTCCCTCCAACATGCATTATGGGACAGGTTTCTGCCAGAAATAAGAGATATCCCACTTCCACACAATATACCCATGACAATATCATGAAAGCATCACGTGAAAAAACATTTCATGTGGAACTTTGGTCCCAGACTCATCTAGATGTGAGAAAGAGAATACAGACCTGGATGTAGGCTTCAGTGAGGGTTATCATCTGGGGAAGGATGTCCTTGACATGAAGATCCTGCATCTCATACCACTTCCCTGTCCCCTACACATCCAGAACATACAAACACCAGCACTCATGTGGAAATCTACTTCCTTCTCAATGAACAGAGAGGAGGAAGCAAACGCACCTTGTGGAGGATGTGTACTCGAAACGTCCCCTTTCCATGCCCTGCCTGCCCATCGTGGACGATGTTGGCCAGGAGATCATATGTGGTGTTTGAGTGCTTTGCCTTCACCTCCTCCGTCAGGATGTCTCCAAAGTCTATCCCTCTGAATGAGCACACAATCAAAACATACTGTCACAAGTCACATTCAAGTCAAGGGCATGGAATAAGGCCTCCATTGAATGCCAGTATAGTCTGTTCCTACTGTGTCCCAAGCACAGTCCCTCAAAGATCAAGGAAAGGAGAATCCATTTTATTGGATAGTTTCTCTTTCCTTCTCCTCACTTCAATGTGGCATCATATTACAGGTTTAATACTTCTACGGAAGTGCTGGGACTAATTACAGATCACTGCAAGCTCATACAGTATCAAGCTTCAATAAACCTAGGTAGCATTCAGCAGAGGTAATATATAGGGCTAAGATTTTTATGCATGAAAATCCTAGAAATATGCAAAACAAATATGCACATTGAAAGGTATGAAGATGAATGGACAAGCATGTACAATAAAAAAATAGGATGGCAACTTACACCATGAACCATTTTAAACATAAATAACACCAATTAGTTTTAACTTAAAGTAATGCATCTTTGCTTACTTTCTGATTTGTGCCCTAAAAACAGTTGGTAAATTGTGGAAGTCTCCACCTTGCTAAACACCTTAGCAACATAGCAAGAGGTTTAATTGACTTTTTTTTTTAACCAATCAACAAATGTCAATGCCTATAGTGGACAGGGCATTCTGAAAGAAGTGACTGAAGTGGAGGTCTGGTTTAAATTTTCATTTAAAAAAAGTATTCTCATTCAGTAATTGTATGAAAATTAAATAGAAATAAAGCTTGGATGAATCATTACAGAAATTAAAACATCCTGACCCAACAACATTGGACAACCTGACAAATTGACTCTCAATCATGTAACTCAGTTTTCTGGACAATGTGCACAACTTTGTACATTTATGCTGTGAAAAAATTTGGAAGAATAAAGGGGGCATAATATCCTGTAACTTGTCAAACATCAAAGGTAAGTCTCTGATTCATTTCAATCAAAAATATAAATCATTCAGGATAGAAGTTGTCACCTCATAATATTCATCCATTTTGACAGATTCTCAGAAGCAATTGGTAATGAACCACTTCAAAGGAAGATGAAGCCCACAGGGCAGGGGAAAAGGGAATATAGTATTTTCTTTCCCTATTGTATCCACCACACCACTTCATACAATTCAAGTGGGGGAGAGGGTGGATATGACAGAGTAAATTGGGATTACTGGGGACCCACTTGTTCAAAAACATGCACAATTACATGTTGTGTTTAGACTTTTCTTCAAAGGTTCCAGAGTGAGAGATAAATATGGCTCCAGGAAATAATGTGTTTACTTAAAAAGTCCCAGTCCAAGTTTAGAGCAATGTGGCAACAAATAATCTCTCCTCTAGCATGTATAAATAGCTATACATTATCTGGCATTACTAAACTTACAGTTATTAAGGTTCAAGAGAAAGTAGGGTTGCCAAGTAGAGTATATGAATGAACAAATGATGAAATGCCTTTGCCAGAATGCTGATAGAACTTCAAAGCTGACTTCACCTGATGGGGAAGTTGATGATAGTTGGATTCTTCTCAGTGAAGAAAGTATTCTTCTGGAACCTCTACAAAATCAGACCAAGGCTCTTAGTTTCTGAAATGCCCAAAGAAAAAAAAAAAAGACACCTGATGTGCAAGGAGTTCAGCTCACCTTGCAGCACATGATGATGTAGGGGGGGAGCCGGGTGATCTCAAAGCGCTTGATGTAGTTCTCTTTGTATGTGCAGTACTCTTTCTCTGTTACCCCATTGAATTTGGACAGCAGGGTCCAAAAGCTCACCTATGGGGAAATCCCTACAGTTTGTACTCACTAAGAGGTGAGGAAAGAAGCAAGGGAACAGGTGATGAAATCACCTGTGGGATGATGTTTTCCTTGAGCTCATCTTTGAAGACAGGTGGTGGTGGAAGGTCTGCTGTGAGGAACAACCAGGGCACCTCCTCACATGTCTCAACTGTTGGAAACAAATCATTTGCACTCATTCATTATTGATCTGATGCACCAATGCTAGTACAAATGAAGGACACACCAGTTTGAACCAGAAAAATTAAAACTTCTTGAAAGAGAAAAGGCAAGATATATGTCAGTTACTTTCAGTCAATATAAAAGTCACCATCATGATAATGTCTATATGCAACCATTTTGAAAACTGTTGTCAGTCTATGATATGCTTCAGTAGTCCACTATAAGGATACATTGAATATGTACTGAAATATGTGAAATTGCCCAGGTTTTGGGCCAAAGATACTGAAGGACTGCAGCAGGCAATAAATCTGTCACCCAAACACACCCTGGTATTCATGCATGAGAAGCAGCTTGTCCTTCTCCTTCTGCTCTAGGTCAATGGGGGGCACCTTGCGGGAATGCACCTTCATGGAACCCTGGAATGACTTGTAGATGATGCTGGAGTTTCGCTTCTTGGTCCCTCCCAGTGCCGTGTGTAGGGCATTCAGGAACCATGACAGGAAATTCACTGCATCACCTTTCATTATCATACAAAAGCAAGTTGATTAGAAATTCTTCCTAACTGCACAAATTTATGTACTGAAAGATAAAAAGTCAAAATGTTACCTTGCTTGGTGATCTGGAAACGCTTCTTGGAGCAAAGGACAACAGCCTGGAGCATTTCGTGTGGGGAAACATGGGCCTTGAAGTTCCTAGGATTCCAGAGCTTACGCAGGAGCTCACCAAAGCGCTGCACCAGGAGAAACATCAAATCACCAGGGGGACGCTTGATCCCCATGTAGCTTTCCTCTTGCAGGAAATAGTTGCGCAATGGGGCCACATGGGACAGTGCCTGAGAAAAATTAAATGAGCAATGAATTTCAAATATGAATTTCATATTCATATACCAGTAGGCACACAATACAAAATGCCCTATGAAGTAAGTATACAATCAAGTTCAACACAAGTGTTTCTCACAAAGCCTATGCCAATTTTTTATACGTACCCAGCAAAAGCAGAGATTTCATTTATAAAACAGATGGAGTTGTCCTTTAAAGCTGTTGGCAGTATGTTCAATATTTGTATAATTCAATATGATATTCATGTTCTTCATAATTCACATAATGACTCCCAAGTATAAAAATGCACAAGGATACCTGGAGCACCACATTGCAATAATCATTGGCCTTGATGTTGTTCAACCCAACAATGCCAGGGAGGTACACACTGCCATCAATGGCCCGGGAGCGCTTCTCATTGGCATCCAGCTTGGAGATGTGGTCTTTGGTAAATGTTGGCTGCAGCACATACTTGATGTCATCCAGTGATGAATCTAGGACAACATTTCCAAATGTACTTCATGGCCAGTGATGTTTACATACAGTATACAGACAAATAATTATTTCTCACCTATGATTTCATAGTTGTCAGGTAGACAGTAGAACTTGAGAGTATGAAGATTGAGATAGACGTGGTGTCCCTCAGCCACACTGTGTGTGTAGGCATGTGTCCCCTGACCTCTTCCTAGAAGAATGAAAAAGTAATAATAAACTTATATTAAATTTCTATGGCAGAGGCCTGGACCACTACAATCTGAATAAGCAGATGCATTGAAGAATGCTAACCTTGGAAGTACTTGCCACAGACAAGGCAAGCATACACATTGATCCTGGAAAGGGACACAGAGCAGAGCTTTTCAAAATCAAAGTCCAGAAAGGGCCGATTGATGGTGTCCAGATATGGACAGGATCTGGAGGCCTTTGTCTGATTCCCTCTCCTTGGGATTACTCCACCTTCCAGGTCATCATCTTCATCAGATTCCAGTTCCACTTTTGCTACCTCTGCAGAGAAATGAAAAGGAATTAAAAGCAAGCTCTTCCACATCCATTACCATAAGCATGACCTAGGTGTGACACATGGACATGTTCAGCTCTTTCCCTTGCTACTTAAATGAGATTCCTAATTTTTTTTTTAGAGTTGTATACCTCTACCCATTCTGATGGATTTTATTTTTTTTTGCTATTTATTGCATTGCATGGAGACTTATTAGTTCATTTTCATTACAGTACAACAAAGACATTAGAATTAGAAAAGACAAGAAAGAATTCTTGTTGTCTTGGGTGTGATATGATACCCATGTTTTATACACCTTTCCTGCATTTTTAATGATTCTCATGTGTCTCATGCCATGGAATGCAATCTTGAAAATACCCATAGAGGTATACCATTTATACACAGGTGGATCAGATTGGCAAGGAATATCTTGGCGAAAATGAGTGAATAGTCATACAGCCACATTCATCCATCATATAAGTTACTGGTGACTGAAAACTGATTAGTTATTTGTAGACAGTAAAAAAACCTAGCTGTGTTGGACTGGTGGGGAGAACTTCGGTATATCTCAGCACAAAAATGATTACTTCAGCTAAGGTCCAAATGGGCAAAACTCATTTAGGTGAGATGAAAGGGCCTTTAAAATTAAGAGCTATTTTCTCCCATAGGAGTCCTTGTGATATTAAAGGATCATCAACAAAAGGAGAATTAAGCATTCAGGCCCTGGACAGCAAAACCATTATTAAACACATGTTAGGTTTGTTCAGATGTATCAATGCATGCTATGGGCTATGTGCTGCTCAAGTGATGAATGACTAATGAGGCAGCATGTCACAGGCCTATGGATGAGCAACCAATTTTGATGTCTGCAGCATAAGCACGTATGGGATAGGTGAGTGGCTCAGTAGTTTGAGAGCCTGGTTCCTATGGTAGGTGATGGGGAATTGAAACCAACCATGACAGGTTGTATTTTCTGAGTGCGAAATCCCAGCGCGTTTGGGAGTGGATACTCCTGGACGGGCAGCACTCCGATAATGAAATGCGAGACGTCGGAGAACCTCACTAACGTTAGAGAAGGCCTAATCTGGGTAGTGTATCCCTGGGATAACTGCTTGGGGGAAGGTTACTTGGGTCTAAGATAAAGGCAAAGGGGGTGAGATTTCGGCCTTAAGCCTCGTGTGGAAAGCAGCCAATCATACCACCTGAAATTTCTCTCTCCTGACCGGCACTGGCTACCTCACAAATATAATCAAGATCGAAAGTCCCAATTTTAATAAGTTAGATTTAAGACTCGTTCATCTCTCACGGCAGAGTAGCAATATGAGTAACGAGTGAAGGGAAACGAATGAATATGTTGGTTTATTTCTTACTAGGTGGATTTTCATCTTGCGAAGGTTCGTCGAGATCCCTCTTCTCACCCATGGACAGCGCCATTTTGTCTATGCAGACACCCGGATACCGTAAACTCATATATTGCTGTTCATATCATCCTATTAATAAATACAGAAGAAATAATTTAAATTATCCAATGGAACTCCTTTAAAATATTTATTGCAACTTCTTTTTGTTAAGAATTGCGTAGTCCTTGTGTTCTAGAACAGTAGACGTCTTTCTGGCAACCCACTGACAATCGCACCCGCGCTGTGTTCGTCTTTGAAATCACGTGGTGGGGCAGGAAAAGCGAGGGTCCGGATGCTGAAATGTGTAAAATTATTTTAGGGGAGATAAGGAGCCTTTCAGCTAAAGGACTCGTTTTTTCCCCGCATGAGGGCATTGATTATTAAAGGACTGTTAAATAAAGGAAGTTTCAGCATTCGGCCTCGCTCTTTACTGCGGGAGTGAGTTTCAATTCTGTTGCACATTAAGTTTTCAATTCTACAGTATTGGTCAGGTTTCAAGTACCTAAGCCCTAGGCGTACAGTTTCATGCAGGTGATGGTCATCTTCCATCTGCTTCTATCATTAATGTTCTTGGCCTCACGCAAGCGCTGTTTGAAAATGAAAAAAAAAGCAGACCTTTATAAACAAAGTTTATAAACCCAATACTATGGAAAGTGCTAACATTAACTTCTAACTTAGTTCAGTTTATTGCTCAACACACTTTCTCTGATTAAGTATTCATTCTTATTACCCTACTGTGATGGATTTATTTGGCAAAGGCACAGATAATAGTGCATTCACAATAAATACCTCCAGCTTTAGTTATTTTAAGCCCACATACTTTTCCACTGTGGGGACAGTAGGTGCAGTGTCTGTATAGACATTCTTACAGTAAATATGCCAGCTGAGTACTTTTTCCATGGGGAGTTCCTGCAATCATAGTGACATGTCTGTGTGCTGTGTTCAAAGCAATGGTGTTGGATTGCTCCATAGTAATACCTGGGATTAATTTCATTAATTCCAAGAAAATTAGAATAATTTCTTTGCTGTCCACATTCCTTTAGTTTTCTCCTATTTATATGTGCTATAGCTATAAAAATTCCTATTGAGTTTAAAGGCATCCTGATGTCTCACTCATAGGCCTAGTTATAAGGGGGCACAAACTTGGAAGTTAGTATTTGGAAATTACTTCTCTCAGCTCAATGCACCCTTCCTAGATTTGAAAATCATCCCACTATGAATACATACCTATTTTCTGCATTTTCCAGCAATGTTATCATAGATTGAATGGAATCAGAGGGAGATTCCTTTCATCAGATACACTCAAGATGCCATATCGCTAGCAATTTGCTTAAGATTCACCTGACTTTCATGGTTTAAGTATGTGGTACAGCCTTAAAATGGGCTGTGGTATTTGTTCTGCTCAATTTTTGTACCTTTCAATACAATGTGAGCCCATTTCTGGCACCTTCAAATCTTCCTTCATTCGTTTTTAATTTAATGTGGGTCATACTGAGTGTAATGAGAGACATGGAAATTGCATGTGTGCATCTATGCTGGCCTGATGTCATGGCACCAGCTGCTTGATTCTGTGTCTGGAGGGCGTATTCATTCTGCACAATAAATGAACTTTTGGTACATAAAGCTTGGCAAAAATATGCTGCAAATAGGAGTTTTGGCATCACCTCCTCTGCATGCTACCCTGCTCAAAGTAGGATTCATTTCTTAATCTTCATTAGAAAAAAAAAAGGTGGAGGTAAAGGCAAATTTATAGGTGTAGGAGCCATGCCTATGTGGCTGCTATGATAGCTGTGGTACTCCAAAGCTAGGAAAATATGAAATTAAGTACAATAAATATGGTACATGTGTCAATCTGTGTTCTGGAAGTGAAACTAAGCCTAATAGATTACCAAATTACAGATAGAATACCATATATATTAAATTAGATCCATCTCAAGGAAACTAATATCATTAGAAAATATGCTGAGTACTAGGCCAACTTTTTTCTCCATGAATAGTATTGACCCCAACATGTGGTGTTATGCTCCTAGGTAAATATTACTGATGGGATATGTCCTGGAGGAATAGGTTTTAGTTTCATAATAGATGGAGGGAAAAGAAAATTTTCCAAGAAACCCCCAAGTGCAAAAAACCTCATCTGCAAAAAATTAGTAAAGTTAAAAAAGACTTTTCTATGAAGGTAGAATGATGGGCATCAAGCAAAGTCATAAGACTTATCTAAGTTCTTACCATTGAAGATCTGTGCATGTGAGTTTCATAGAAGGTAGTTGTAGGGTGTTTGTTTTGTCTCATTTTTTGATATGCCAGTATGGCATTGCCTATTATAGTCCTACCTGTACACACTGAATCACTTTAACTCCTGCACCTTGGCAGATCAATTTCTCTCAACATTGGCATGGCCTCAGCCTAGTTGTATGGTGTGACCTTAATCTTCCTAGGTTAGCATGTCACTCCACATTAAGCTATGTTGTGGTACTTGAGGAACTTAACACTGTTTCCCTCTTACAGTTTGATTGAGTAGCACTAAGGAATTTTGACACAGCATATGTGCCATGCCTAGTTGGCTTGGTTAGTAGGCTATGCCAAGGCCCACAAATGTGATTAAGGACTATGCAAAACCTTTTAAATTTACTTAATATTTTATTATATCCAACTCATGCTCAGTTGGGACTTTGGCAGCCCATGTGAGCCTTGTGATGTCATCCTTCCTTTGATGAAAACTGACTGCATTGATTTTGCTTCCCACCTGTCTGAATGGCTCCACATGTCATGTAACTTCAGTAACATTTACCTGCTCCCAATAGCTGGTCATGGCTAAATTAGTGTCTTAGGTGGTAGGCAAGTCTCCACTTCCACCACAGTGGGGGAGAGGGGGGAAATTCAAATCATTGTTGCCATAAAAAATTGTCTGAAAGCCAAAAGTAGAAAAACCACAAAGGTCTGACTGACATCTGGTTTCTGGACTGAAACAGTATGCCTTGGAAGGATCAAAGAACTTTTAATTCATTATAACTTCTTTTTAATAGTAGGTTCCATATCAAATACAGATAATGAGCATGTTTTCCTTGAGTTGTTTTGGAATCCTACCCTCCCCTCCCCACTTGACCTGACTGGCACCTAAGAGATATTGCTTGAAAATTTGAGTAAGTTACCAAAACTAAAGCCCCCCAATACCAGCATCAAGTTGTTATGGCATTTTGCTTTCATTTCCCAAGGGTCAACTCGCCTTTCGAATTCGAAGAAAGCATTCTCATCAGAAAGTCAGTGTCCTTTGCACGATCAATAATCAGCGCCCAATCGTTCTCAATTGGCATCTACGAATGCTCTGGATCAATTCGGAGTCCATTACCGCAATTCATTGCATTTCTCCGTAGCCCACAGGACAACGGGCCTGGATCGAGCGTGATCTGATCCGTTGGAGCCGGCCGCAACTGTTAGATGTCCAGCATTAATTTCTCTGCTTTGTAGGCCAAAAGCATCATTGATAGGTGCAGGCGACACTTGGGACGTGAGACTCTCCGAAAAAGCAAGCAAAGCCTGGGAAAGGCGGCCTTCCGACTTGGAAGACCAGGGAAGCCACTCTGTTGCTTATCCTTGGGAATGTTCCCATCGCCTGTCTCCAAATCTCGTCAGCCTTTCAACGGATCGACAAGGGATTTGGATAGAAAGGACTCTCGCGTGTCGTATGATGCCTGCCTGCGTGATGAAAGCGATTGCAGAGAAGTCGGGTGAAAGTCGGCTTGGGATTTTCTTTGTTGGTAGATTTCCGTTCGAAACTGTCAGTGATGGAAGAGTTTCGAGTTCGAGGTACGGCCTGTGAACTTCTTTTTGCTTTTCATCATTCGAAATTATTTGAAAAATAGTTAGTAAATTGAATTCATTTCTGTTCAGGCTGTTGACTAGGCGTTCTGTAGACTGGAAATGTTGGAATTTCAAAGGAATTCCTTGCAACTCCAACTGCTGCCAGGATACGAGCAGGAAACACGGAAGCTTGTAAATAGGAGTCCCTCGTCGGTCAATAATGGCACAGGTGTTCCGTGTCTTGGATACGGCCCGGCCAGTCACGGAGAAGGGGATCGATGCCGAGCGTAGAGGGTGATTGTTCACAGGGTCCATTCGGGGGGCCGTTCGTAGGAGACGTGGAGGATGATCGGTCGGGCAGTGACGTTGTGCCTCCGATTCGCAGTGGCCGTGGGCCTCTTCGCCGTCGTCGTCAACATGATCTATGGGATACTGGTGCGGATGTTCGACCAAGGAGAGGTGAGGTGGGGGCTGCAAGGGTTCGTGGACTGAATGAGGTGGTTGAGGATCCCGCGGGGGACGCGTCGGGCGGTGTTCCTCTGGACGCCGCTGCTGGGGGTACTGGTCTTGCTGCTTGTGGTCGTTCGCAGGGATGTCCGATCTCCGGTCACATCCGACGACGAGCGTGAGTCCTTGGTCGTCGTTATCAAAAGATGCTGAGTGTTCCAGTTTCATGTGAGATGTGCTCAAAGATTGCGTGTCGTAGCCATTTCAAAAGGTACAGTAGTTCTCGAGATGAGATAAGACGCATCTTGGATGTGTTGTATCTCGGTCTGTATGTAAAAGGCACCGAATAAACAAGCAGATATTTTCATTCTCTCCGAGAGATGGCAGCACTGCGGGGATGAGTGATTTACGAGCCTAGCATATGGCCAAGTTGAAGACCAAAAAAAGCATTACATCGCTTTTAGTTATCGCTCAATTTGCGTATTTCCGTGTATTTAAGTTTAATATCTCAATGGGTACAAGTAGCTCTTCAATAGCACTTGTTGCTTGAGACTCCCACTAAACTCGCAGTCGCTTTGAAGCAAGTCCATGAACAGTCTTAGGAAACCACATTTGCTCCATATTGATTTTCATATTCTGGATTATATTTCCGCTTCACTGCTTATGGTACTTTCAGTACCACTGCAGTATCCAGTATGTCACCTGCAAAAAGGTGCCCCACTCTCCTGAGGCAAGTCCTTAGGTCTCTTTTTCGCAAAATTCAACCAATAGTTTTTTTTTCTCCAGGTCAGTTGATGTGTTTGGTTAATTAGTAAAAACTATGTCAGTACTTATGAGGAAGGCTGGGATTTATTTTGCATGGAAATCCTGGAAGTATGCAGTACTGAATGGCATGATATGCATTTATATTTTTTAAATTTAATATACACATGGGAAGGACATGGAGGTGGTAATGCACCAGGCCAACATGTCAGTAAAACAAACTTTTATTTGTTCATTTTAGTGCTGATTCATTGAAGCATTTGGTAATCAGCAGCTTATGAAGATGAAGCTCACAGAGTAGAGGTACCTTAATATGAGTCAGAGAAAATTATGACTGGAGGAAGAAATATGGATTTGCTTAAATCCTAGCCTGACTTGTGAGTGTATACATTGGGTGTTTGAAAAAACATGCCCCTTCATCGATATGGATCCATTGATGCCTTATATGTCAAAAATTGGTTCTGTAAGTCTTGCTCTTGGTTGGTCTTTATGTTTGGCAACTGGAGAAAGGGATCTTAGGGCACACATTTTCAGATTACTCAAGTTAGTCTGTGAAAAATGCTTGATACTATGTTTTAAAATTTTGAGCACAGAGATCATGCAATGAAGGGGATTTGTTTAGCTATTGGACGCTCAACATTTTTGGACGTTAATGTGACATCATGTATCATGTTTACATTTCCTACCTATCATTTTTTGCAACCATGGTTTCTGTACTCTTTCTGACAGCAATCTACTTCTTTCATGCAGAGGAGGAAGGACAAGGGATGCTATCCAAAGAAGATGTAAATATGCCTCAGAAACAAGAGAGGGAAGTTGTTCAAAAACCTGTGAAACCAGTCCACCAAGGACGAAGACTTGTCTTGCTCCTTTCTTATGTTCGGGGAACAAGTTCCCTGCTTGAGGAGATGCTCAATCGCAGCCCAGGAATCTATTATGTACATGAGCCTCTGGTGAAGTTAGACTATGAAGTCTACAGTGGGGTAATGCCCTTGCAACGAGGGAAGCTACCCCAGGCCATGGAACTGTTGGGAGACTTGTATCAATGCAATGCCTCAAGACAAGCTGCCATCATCTCAGATGAGAATCTCTGGATAGCCCATACCTTCAGGCAGTTCTATGTTGAACACTGTGAGGGACAGGGTACATCCTCAGTGAACTGTCTTGACCGCTTCTGCCGTGATAATGGGGCGATGCCCATGGCTGTGAAGACAATAAGACTCCTCCTGGCAGATCTATCTCGGTTCCTGTGGACTGTGGGTCTTGATAAGGTCCAGGTGATACTGGTGCTCAGGGATCCCAGAGCATTACTCTGGAACCGGAAGAAAAATGATGAAGGTCCACCTCTCTTTTCACCTGATCGATACTTCACCCATGGCAGGGATCTCTGCAGTCGAATCCTAAATGTTAGCCTTTCCTTTTACCTTCCCCGTGTTTACTATCATTGTACATGAAAGTGAGCTTGAAAACTGTGCCGTTACATTAGTGTCTCCTGAATCAGAATTTTGTTGGAATTATCTCTCATCTGGCCTATCCAACTCCCCACTGATATTCATACCATCTACCCAATCATTGCTCAAATATAATGATGTGTAACTGACATTAAGATGAAAAAGTCATTGAAGTTCATTTTATAAACTTTCAGTTTTTCATTCATATATCCTTTCATTGAGAAAATAAAATTTGAAGAAAATTGCATTTTCACACTATTCATTGCTCATTTGTACAATCCACATGGAAAATATCCTTCATGAGGAATATATGCCTTTAATAGCTTTGAAAGTAGTTCTAGGTTATGAGAATGCCATGAATTCATCGGTTTCTTTATTATTTTGTCTAAATTGTTTCTATCAGGACATCCAAGTGGCAAAAGAAATAGAAGGGCGACATGCAGGTTTTCATATGGTGATTCAGCATGAGGATCTGGTTCAAGACCCTCAAGCCACAGCCAAGACTTTGGCTCAATTCCTCCATCTTCCCCAGCTGGAAGACATTGATCACATTCTTGGGTTTCAGGAATTACTGCAATCTGCACGTACAGATATCACAACTTGGCAGGCAAAATTGAAAAAGGAAGAAGTGGACAAGATTGACCTTGGATGCCAATATCTTTATCAGCTTGGTTTCTACCACCATGCCCCTCCAAACTGATCCATCACATTGTCTAATTCAGGCAACCCTTTCATTGTTTGATCACATCAACATCATGTTTTTCCCTTGAGTGAATAAATAGAATTAATCAAATATATTTGTTTTGATTTAAAGTGGATGAGCACAATTTTTTGTTGCTGAGAAAGTGATTTTGTTTGATTGAAAATTGTGTTTGTTTTTGACTGTTAGTTTGACATGGCCACTTGTCTGTAGGAGTGTTGGGAGGACTTTGACTTTAGATTCAATTTACTTGATCTGCTGGATCCATAGCTCCCTACTCTGGTGTAGTGATTTCTTTCATACCATATTATATTACTACATTTCGTGTAATCATTTTAGGCCTATAATGCATTTAATTTAAATTTAGTGAGTTTAAATTATGATCTGTTAACTTCATTATGTTGAATAGGGCCTCAATTGGCAAATGTGTCCATTAATATTTATATGTTAGTTTTTATTTGTTTGTTGATTGCTTAGTCATTCAGATATAGGTACATGTTGCTAGCCTGGTCCTAAAGAGGAGGATGTCACGAAAGAAAGGGCTGAGCCTGGAAGAGAAGCGAGAACGGATGGTTACCCTACTCCAGGAGAAGCAAGACTTCTTCCAGTTGAAGGTCTGTTTTCTCCTTCCTTCTTATGCATTAGTTGGAAGGATTTGAGAACCTGCAGAGAGTAACATGCTACTTCTCAAATTGCATCATTTTGCAGGAATTGGAGAAGCTAGCGCCAAAGGAGAAAGGGATTATTGCACAGTCAGTGAAGGATGTCATCCAGTCTCTTGTTGATGATGGTCTTGTTGAATCAGACAAAATTGGCACTTCTGTGTACTTTTGGTCCTTCCCAACGTATGGAGTGCCTCCCTTTCCTCTTTCTATTTTTGTACTGGCAGTATGTTATTTTCTGATGTCCTATATTCCATCTATTGGGCATATTGTCAGCATGTTTAATGACTTATGTAGCATACTTATGTAGTACCAGCATACTTGACATTTGCTATGCTTTTGTGAGGTTACAGTTGCTTTTTGGTACTTTTTTCTTACAACATGGAGTGTTGATGTTGGAAAGATATGACATTGCAGGAAAGCAGCCAATACGAAGAAGCGGAAGCTGGAAGATGTGACCAACAGTCTGGCAGATATCCAACAGAAGAGACAGAAACTCAAGGATGTGCTTGATCAGGCCAAGGTCTCCATTTCTATTCTTTTCCTTTCAGTATAATGAGGTGTTCAATTTAACAGAAATGTTACGTTTTTGTTGCTTATTTTTTTGTATGCATCCAGTGGCCTGAAAAACACCATCAGTGTTAAAGCAAATTCACAGTGCACATGTTACCTCCACCAGGGATGGGAGTTACAGCTGCACAAAATTAAGCAAATGTATTGTTGTGATCTTGAAGATCCACCCATAGATCTGCAACTTGTCCAAAAGTCATATCATCACAGTGAAATCTAAAGCCAGTAAGATGCTATTTCTGTGTTAAAATTGTTTAATTGGCCTCAGGGTGTTATCCAAACATATCACATAGCTTTTGGGCCAAAATTCAATTTTTTGAACTTTCATTTCATTGGTATGTGTTGTAGGACTTCAACTGCCTGTTCTTGTTTTGGCAGACATCTAAGTTTGCTCTCCACTTCGCAATATCAGATCTAACCACCTGAATTTGTGCTGAAGTGACACCACTTTTCTCAACAGGCATGAATGGGAGGGAAATAACCTGTAATTTAGTATTGAGTAATGGTTCAATACCTAAAACCTAGAGGAAGCTCAAAATGGGTTTGATGAAACATTTTTATTGATTTGAACATCCCTGTGCAACTTCCACTTCTGTTGAGAAAAGAAATATGGGAGTTGATGAAGTCTTTTCACTGTCTTTAAGGCCAAACGCCATTCTGGAGTCTGTCTTCCAAGTCTTCCTGCAATTTTTGTATTGGAAATTTCTCTATTTTGCTGGTTTTGCCAGGAAAATGGGCTAGTCATTCCTTTTTGATGGAATTTTATGCTGAATTTGATTTTGTTTCATCTCATTATGAGAAATCAATCTCAAGCACTCCCTTCTTTGATTTGTGGCTCTGTTTACATGCTAAGTTTATGGTTTTCTCTTTTTAACATGTGATCTCTGACTCAAGCAAATGAAAAGTGACGATCCTGCTTGGTGGGTGGGGTACCCTGTGGGTGGGGTACCCTATGGATTTGGAAACAAAGGTACACAAGTTGGTGGGATGGGTAGTGTTCTGTCTGAAACTCATAAATCTGCAGTCCTCTTGGTTCAATGCCATCTACCTCCCAACCAGTGACATCACCAAGTGGAGATGGTTTTAGTGAAAGGTCACTGGTCAAATCCCATCCTTTCTCTAATAATGATTTGTCAGATCATATACATTCACTATAATTTATTGGTCTGGATGAAAACAATACCGCCAACTTTCCAAAAAGAGGTTGCTGCTACTGCTGCCACATCACTCCTACTTCTATAGTTCATCATAAGACCAATGACCACTGCAAAAGTTTTTGATGAGAAATAAATGAAATCTCCTCTCCAAAGTGGCCATATCTCCACAACCACTTTTCAAACAATTATGAATTGAGTGTTGTTGGAATCAGCACTAGAAGATGCACACAATGGCATATGTTTCAAGTTCACTGTTTTGTTTCTGGATTTGGTCAGGGGGAGCTGATCTAGCTGGCAACCTTGGATTGAGAGAGATATTAGGCCTCAAAGTAGCCCTTGCTTCATATTGATGGGTAATAATTTGCATAAGGTTGAGGCATTGAGCATATATAGATTATACAGACCAACCACCTGGAATCCCAGTTTTGTGGCAGTTGAAGGACTTGCCCTGCTCATAAATTCTTATTTCCTCTTGTGTTGGATTGATATTTTTACTTTTTTTTTATGCATTACTTTCACTACATTAAGGTAAAAAGAAAGTATTTATCAGAGTTTCTCTATATCAACATAGTTTTTCTGCTGGTGCCTCCCCCCATCCCTATCTACTGTACAATTTTCCACTTTGTAATATATATTTCATAAACAGAGAGGCTCCTACCAGAGTCTCTCACATATTGTCATATTCATGAAAGGTAGTGGAACATTAGTCTCACTCAGTTTTATATATATATATATTTCTTTTTTTTGTTTTAATTGAAAGATGGGTATTTTTATGCAAGTTATGATTACTGATCTCTTAGATTAATCTGTAAATTCATTTAATAATTTGTTGAGCCTGACTAATCCTTACTCATTGACTTCTGCCTTGAACATGATTCTGCTACTCACTAGTGCACAAAAAATGAGCATTTATGGCCTCCTGGGATGTGGTAATACTTTTGGTCTATTTGCTTTTCAGAGAGAGAGGAAGGAGGTAGAGGAAGATGGAGAGAGGGAGAGGGTGCTGAAGGAGCTTGAAGTAGCAAAGGCAGAGAAGGAGGAACTGGAGAAGAGGATCCAGGTCACACGGGACTCAGATCCTGTCCTCCTCCAGTCCCTCCACAGCGACGTCAAGGTCTCTGCCTTCTCCATTTCCTCCTTTTGTTGTCTTCTTGCATTCCTTTCTTGCAAAATTGAGTCCAGAGAGAGTACTCTTGCACCATCTCCCTAAAAATGTACAGGGTCTTGCATAACCTTTTGCTAGGGGGGTACAGCAATTATGGAGTACCCAAAGTATGTGTATTATACATATCTTAAAAGTTAATTTTCTTCTGATTTCAGATTAGTTATTGAAAAATATAATGCCTGGGGTCGTTGGATATGACGAGAGGCAAAGTGTGATTGACCCCATTCGAGCTTACACCTATCAAGAAGCAAGGGAAGCAGGTGCAACGTTTATCAATTGAGAGTGAATTGCTCACCACTGCATTGCAAGGAGAGTTTGAGTTACTGACAACTGGACCAAAAAGGATACGAATCTTGTTTTACGAAATTTGGTGACAGCAGTTGGAAAAGTTGTCTGAAGAGAGCAAAAACATTGTGATGGAGAACAGTGGAAAAAGATAAAGAGAAAAAGCTGCAGTCAGGTTGCAAAAGACATCTCAAAGGGGTTTGGAAAGATTGTTAATCCGTCAATGATACAATGATACCATATCAAAAAAGAGATAAAAGGTATAGGGACAAAATAGAAAGTATGATGATTGGTGAACTTGGCTTTGGCTGAAATTCTGAACCTTCAAAACTTCCAAAATGTTATTCATAAACTGGAAAATAGAGCATACCTTTTTTATAATTTGCGGAAATTATACCCTAAACGTTTAAGGGCTGTACACAAAACAAATGATGGTCACACAAAATACTGCTACATTACTGTATTCAGGTTGAATATGGGTTTAAATTGAGATATTACTTACAATTGTTCTATTTGTACTTAAAGTTGTACCCCCCTAGCAAAAGGTTATGCAAGACCCTCTATGTGTAATTGTAAATGTAATATGTAATATTTTTGCATTACCTGCAAGTTCTGCTGTTTCAACCAAACAATTCAGACTAATTCATCTCAAGTCTTGTTTGACATCAATCCATTTATGCTTCATGCTTTTGTAAAGTCTCCATAGTGAACCATGTGTTATTCCAATGTGTGCAGTTGAACAGCCAAGGGAGTGGTTAATCAAGAGTAAAGAAGTACAATGAATAAGGATTAGTCAGGCTCAACAAATTATTAAATGAATTTACAGATTAATCTAAGAGATCAGTAATCATAACTTGCATAAAAATACCCATCTTTCAATTAAAACAAAAAAANTATTACTACATTTCGTGTAATCATTTTAGGCCTATAATGCATTTAATTTAAATTTAGTGAGTTTAAATTATGATCTGTTAACTTCATTATGTTGAATAGGGCCTCAATTGGCAAATGTGTCCATTAATATTTATATGTTAGTTTTTATTTGTTTGTTGATTGCTTAGTCATTCAGATATAGGTACATGTTGCTAGCCTGGTCCTAAAGAGGAGGATGTCACGAAAGAAAGGGCTGAGCCTGGAAGAGAAGCGAGAACGGATGGTTACCCTACTCCAGGAGAAGCAAGACTTCTTCCAGTTGAAGGTCTGTTTTCTCCTTCCTTCTTATGCATTAGTTGGAAGGATTTGAGAACCTGCAGAGAGTAACATGCTACTTCTCAAATTGCATCATTTTGCAGGAATTGGAGAAGCTAGCGCCAAAGGAGAAAGGGATTATTGCACAGTCAGTGAAGGATGTCATCCAGTCTCTTGTTGATGATGGTCTTGTTGAATCAGACAAAATTGGCACTTCTGTGTACTTTTGGTCCTTCCCAACGTATGGAGTGCCTCCCTTTCCTCTTTCTATTTTTGTACTGGCAGTATGTTATTTTCTGATGTCCTATATTCCATCTATTGGGCATATTGTCAGCATGTTTAATGACTTATGTAGCATACTTATGTAGTACCAGCATACTTGACATTTGCTATGCTTTTGTGAGGTTACAGTTGTGATTTTTGGTCCTACATCTGGCATGGGGCCAACTGTTAGCTAGTTTCTCTAGGCATTGAGTTATTCATTGCATAAATCTATTATGAATCAGGATGTTTGAGACAATTTTGTTTGAAGACTGAAGACACCTGCATTTGTATCAGAGTTTCTATCTATTCCATCAGTCAATGAGATTTTGTTACTCTCCTCCACCCACAAAGCCACAATGCCTTGCAAAGTCACCCAAACCTGTGAATTAGTCTATGACTATCAGTTGACTAGCAATTAAGAGTGCATATGTCGTAAACTAAATTTCTCATCTGGAAAGGGAAAGTCATGGAATGCCACAATATGAAAAGCAGGAAAAGTGACCCTAGCAATTACTTTTCTATTTCAGTATTTTGTATAACTATACCTCTTAATGTCATTTTATTATTCCTTCTGCCGAATTATTTTATAGATGTCCCCTTAGTTTTTCTTTCACCTTTACCACTCTTTGTATGAAAGGTATAAGTGGTTTAAGTACTTTTACTTTTCAAAGGATGATGTGATCATCTTCTATTCCTGGGAAGTACAGGTGGCAAGAGAGGCAGCAAACCGTTGGCTGGACAACATCCTCTCGGTGAAGTCCTGGTGCAGGAATCGCTTCAACATCGATGAAGCCGTCCTCAACAAGCAGTTTGGTATCCCTGAAGACATGGACTACCTTGACACTTGAAGACACCATATCTTTCTCTGTCTTCCCATTTCTCTCAAATGCATATCCTCAAATATATTAAATCATTTCCTCTAACTTGATGCTATTATTTTGTTGCATAATAATATTGATGACCAAAATTAACAAAGGGAAACTACAGCTACTTAGAAACTTCCTCCTTGAGCCTTGAACATACAGCACATACAGTAGTACAGAGGTAATGATTTGAAAGGGCCAGTGAACATTTTTCATGTGTATTTGTTGCTAAGTCTGGTTTGAAGAATTACAGTATTATTGTTTGAGAGGTTTGTCATTCACCATCTCATGGCATTTCTCTTGAGTGTTGCATTGCCAATATTTGACTGGTTTTTCTAAGGTCAAGGTGTTTCTCTAGCAGTCCATGGCGCTTTTACCATGGATTCATTTTTGCAATGGCTTGGCACTGGAAAAATGCCAAGCCATTGCAAAAAGCATGCTTGGCAGCAATCTCCCGTGCACACGTGGATCGATCATTAACGATGGGATGAACATGCAAAAAATGTGAATGTACTGACTGAGTGCTCAGTAATGAGAAGTACTCTCAGAAAATCGAAAAACGATTTTTCGGCGATTTCTCTCGAGACTGGTGAAACCTGACTGCATGGAAGAGGAAGCAATCTAGTGTCAGTATTCTGCCCGTCCAGGTCTCAAAAATCTAGGACAATGCAGGCGGGAACCATTTTCCTCTCATATTCGCCGACGTCGCCTGTTAGTCATCTCGTCAGCCCTTCTGGTCGAGTGTGTCATCGTCTGACATCCCTCCAGCGGATACGGACAGGGGGGGGGGGAGACGACGAGGGTGGACAAAGTTCCATTTAAGGCGATCCCACTTGCCCTCTATGGAGGAATCGGAGATGGCACTTGCTCGCTGGTGTTTCTAGATGGTCCTAATGTGGATAAATGAACCTTTAAATTCCACGAATCATAGTGGCAAGTTCGAATTCATGGCAGCAATAAAACACGAAAACGGTCAGAGTTGCGATTCCATGGCAAATGGAGACAGCGACAGCGCAAATTTCCGTTCGATTTCGTCGCGTTCTGGACTTCATCACGAAACAATCTCGTTTCCGCCTTTTCGAATGCGATATTTCCAATTTCTCCACTAGAAAGTACGAAAAATCGGGACGTCTCCAGGGAAAACAGCCTGTTGTCGGATGCTGGGACGCGTGGGGCAATGAGAAGATCGAATCGCGTCGACGTAACTTGGCCATCGTCCACTTTGCAATCCGAACTGCCCAGTACTCTTCAGAATTTGAATCGGCTGGAAATGGCTCTTATCCACGGTAGCCTAACCCCGATGCCTTACTTCACCATACTTAATGAGATGAGGAAAAAAAAAAAATGCAAATTAGCCCGGTGGAAGTTGATCATTTACGTGCACTGATGAAAATGACTCCGTTCTGGCTCATAGACTCGTCCTAGAGAACGAACGGCTTCAAGACGATCGCCCGTTGCAAACGTGTGCGGTGAAATACAACAGAAGGAATTCCTAAGCCTCGAAATTAATACGCCACGAAATCCTTGGTTGGCATTTAAAGAGGCAAATGCTCTCACCAGTAGGAAGAGGCGAATGAAGGCATTTCGACGGCAGCTGGCGGCAATATCCTGCCCGGATCCGGTTCCCTCCTTGTCGAAGTTCCAAGGACTCGGGTCGGGATTTGGACTTGAATGGTTTCTCGTAATGGAAGCACCGTTAATGGAAGCACCGTTGAGGGCCCGTGCCCACCGACTGGCACGTCACCAGATCCTCCGCCTCGTCACTGACAAATCAAATTAAATGCGTCCAGAAATTAAAAAAAAGGGACGAAGGTGGTGCGAAGAGGGCCTCTATGCGAGGCAAGACGACCGTGCCAAATAGCAGATTGCGAAATGGCACAGTTCAACGAAGTTTTGGCATGCCCCTCGCCCCCTTTTCCCCGTAGTTCACTCCGAATACGAATCTCGACCGAATTGCGATGCGGTCGAACTGTTGGATCCGAGGTACAAGTCCACCTAGCAATGCGATCTGACTCGAACTATGAGGAACTCATAAAATATAGAATAAACTTTAAAAAATGTGAGATGCGAAAGCGTAAATGACAGGCGCGAGAGCGACTGGGTCATTCGCATCCGTTCCTTCGCCAGAGAAGACAAGGTTACACATCGATGTGGAAACAGCATTGAAATTGATTCAATGTGAACCCGGCAAACATGGCGGCGTTGTGGGGACATTCTCCTGGAGTGAAAAACCATGTCGTCGACGTTGAAGGTCAAAGTCCAACGTTGAGAGAATATCATAGCAGCGTTATGGCGCTATTATACCTTTTCAAATCGCATTTTTTAATATTTATGGTAGTATTATGGAGCATGCATCGTCAAATAGGGAATAAAAAATTTTTTAAAGAAACGACCAAGAACCTATCCACTGTTATCACCCCAGTAACTCCAGATATTGGCTCAATTGGCTCCAGATATTGGCTCAATTGGCTGGACCAACATTGGGCACGATGTCTACACGTCTAGCCATTATTGCCAATACCGGCTAAATATTGGCTTCCCGATATTGCCATTCCATCATCGATCCAATATCAGACCGACGCGATGATCCAATGTGCCCAAGTCGCAGGGAGAAGCTTTTTTTTTTCGTGGAAAATTTGAAGTTCTCCTCTTGCCCACTAGATGGAGGCACGGGTCTCGCTTTTCGCACAGGGCATGAAAGTGCATTCCCTCTTTCCATGGAATCATCCCTCACAGGAGGGTTTAGCATCTCGCCATTTGTTCTTCCTAGTCTCATTGTAGCAATCGATAAAATCGGACACTTGATCATTTCTTATTCCCATATTCGAGACAACCAGGCGACAAACAAGCTCATCCTCCGAATGAAAACCCCTCGGGTGCCAGATCGAGCCCTCTCTTACCGAACGACAGCCAATTTCATTTTTTTAAACGGCGAAATGGAGCATCGCAAACAGCAAAAAAAAGCCACTTCTCGTCATCTACCTTTCTAATAGTTGGCATCTTTCCTCCGAAAACTCCCCAGGAGCGGAGAAGAGAGAATGGAGCAAAAAAAACGAAATGAAATTCACAAGAAATGATCAAGTGTCCGATTTTATCGATTGCTACAATGAGACTAGGAAGAACAAATGGCGAGATGCTAAACCCTCCTGTGAGGGATGATTCCATGGAAAGAGGGAATGCACTTTCATTGCCAACTATTAGAAAGGTAGATGACGAGAAGTGGCTTTTTTTTGCTGTTTGCGATGCTCCATTTCGCCGTTTAAAAAAATGAAATTGGCTGTCGTTCGGTAAGAGAGGGCTCGATCTGGCACCCGAGTCTGCGAAAAACAACCAGCGATCGACCCTAAAACCAACCAGTCACCCGGTTTTATGCCATTTCTTAACTTGCCGAAAAGAATTTCGTACTTCCGTCAGCGCGCGAAATTCGCAGATTACCCAAGACCATCTCCACGTGTGAGCTGCTTCTCCAAATCATGCACGAAGACGATTTTAATTTGTAGCGAAAGTAGGAAATCCATCGAACGACTCAAGACAGAAACTGGTATTCGCGAATCTTTTTCGCCATTTCAGCGTTTTTGCATCGAATTTTGCCCAAGGAGCTACCAATGCCTGGAACCATCGTCATCGAGGTCCGACTGGGCCTCTGGGAACCCGGCGAAGGATCGTCCATCCCGTCCTTGCCCTTGCCCCTGATCTTGACCTTGACCTTCACCCCCCTCTCGCCGCTTTTCCCGGGATCGGTGATGGAACTCGAAATCGATGCACTCATCCTGCTTCTCCTCCTGCAACGCACGAGAAGCATCACCACGATTATCATCATCATTCATCAAAATAAAACATCGGCCCTTCTATTCTGTCGACAAATTTTTGCCGCGATATTCAGTTCTGAACGCCATGGTCTCTGCAAAAAAATCAATAATGAGCGAAGGACTCTCTTCCTGTAACGCCGACCCTCCTGTGGTGAACAGGAACGAAATTGGGCATGTTTCATCCTCTCTCAAAACAGAATAGCTCCAGCAAATTTGAAACTCCATCTCCCGGGGGAGATGTGGAGAGTACTGAATCTTGTTTTTGGAAAATGTGAGCTACTGTATATTCCTTTTTTTTCTCTCCCCCCCTGGGTAGCTACTCCAGGGGGGTTTGAGGAGGAAAGAGACCAACCATAAGAAAGATTCTGACTCATAGATGAGGAAAATTGGCCTTTTTGTTGTTCGCGATGCACCGTTTCACCGTAAAAAAAAAAATGAAATTAGCTGTCGTTCAATTAGGCTTAGAGTGCGTGCTCAGGTACCGTACCCAGTGTTGCCGGACACCGTGCCGAAATGATGCCAGATTCAAGACTACTTCAGCCTTCGTATCGGCATCTGGATCTTCTACTTTTTAATGTAAGATACATTTTTGTGCCGAGTTCATGAGTTGAGCCGAGAATGAAGCGGTATTTAGCAGTGATTGATCGACGTAGTGCGATTGGGGATACTTCATCCGGACATCCCTGAATTAACAGGATGGCGCGCACCGCGGTTACTTCCTGAAGGCATTCCGCCCTCAGACCTGTTCGAGGAACTCCAGATAGGCCTAACGTTCTACGTCCGCACTGAGATGGTTCGTGAAAGTATGAATAGGCCTGCGATTGGCCTGACGTTACATGTCTTCAACGAGATGTCTCGAAGACCACGAATCACCCGTGTAAGCCTAATTGGTCCCGTAGATCGAGAATTTAGTTTCTTTTGAAAGAAAAAAAGGCAGGTCTTGGCTTGACCTGAAGGCAGCTTGATGGTTAGGTCTGGGCCTGACGTTAGTGAGTTTCCCGTAGAGAAGGGCGGGGGTTTGAAAAAAGGGTAAGCCATTAAAAATTGGTTTCCGCATTACTACATAGGGTATATCATCATGGCTTCCTTACCTGATCCCTGATGGTCGTGGTACTCCTATCATAACATTCTAGAGGCCAGGTAGATCACGGAAGTTATAAGGGCTTCCGTGGTTTC